ATTATGCAAGGAGAAGGTATTACAACCTCACATGCCCGTAGTACTCTATGGTATCCACTCATTTTGTTCTAATCTAAGGGTGAATAAAATCCATGTCTAAGGCTTAAAGCTGAAAGGGAATGAATGCAAAGAAAATGTGAGGAAAAGAAAGGAAAATTTACAAAGATATGCTCGATTAGGCCCTACAAAAAGCCTCTGCCTATGTATCCCTTTTAAGGAATCAGAGAAGTCGTAGTTCGGATCACATATTTTAGTTGGTTTGTGTTTTATAGTTAAAAAGACAAAAGCGATAATCAAGATGGCAAAACATCAGATAAAATGACAAAACATCAGCAACAATGATAAAACATCAAAACAAGGACGACAAGACATAAAATGGCAACACAAACTCGAATAAAATGATAACATATCAGCATGATAGAAAAATATCGAATAAGATGATCAAACATCACACCTTAACAATGACATAAAAAATCAAAGTAGGATAGCAAACATACGCGATGGTGAAACATCGACAAAAAGATAGTAAAATATCATGGCAAAAATGACAACACATCGAAATATAGATGATAAAATATCACACCTAACAATGATATCAAAGATCAAAGTAGGATAACAAACATAAGTGATGGCAAAACATAGGAAAAAAGATAGAAAAATATCATGGCAAGGAGGGAGAAACATCAATTTAGATGATAAAACATCACACTTAACAATGATATTGAAAATAAAAGTAGGATAAAAAACATATGCGATGGAGAAACATCAGTAAAAAGATAGTAAAATATCATGGTAATAATGGAAAGATGTCAACTTATCAAAGTTAAGAAGCAAAGCCAAAAGGCGGACAAATAATTAAGATTGGTTTGTATTTTTTACCTTGAAGAAGGATTTAAGTTCGTTAGAGATGTTTTATGACTTGCCAAGAAAAAGAGAGTTTTCATTTTAAGATGCAATATGAAAAGAAAAGAAAAAAACTAAGGGAGACTATCCTAATCTCTAGCCCTAGTGTAATCATACAACGATGGCCCTAAGGTTGAGTTTTGAAAGGGAAATATCTACCCTGTGTTAGCATGTATGGATACCCATCTTAATGTCTAACTAGAAAGCTAGTCTAATCGAGTGATCCTAAGGGAAGTATGGTATAACAAACAAGTAAGCAAACAAGGCACATATGTGGAATTTCCTTAAACATGTCTTTAAATAAACTAGAGGAATTCCTGACAGATATCAACAACGAAGGTCTCTTTCATGCATCTCTATTACTGCTTGACATGGCCAGGGAAGCAGTAAAATTCCTACTTCTCATGATATCTAGAGAAGCAGTAAAGTGCGGGAATGAAGAATGAAGTCACGACGATACTTAACAAAGTAGGTCCGTTGCCTATTCGAAGCGCATGAAATAAGAAAACTCTATAGAACGCCTCCTTGGACCTCCTCAACCAACCAATGATTAGGCATACCCGAGTCACATCAATAATCAATCGCAAAAATCATAGCACGAGCGTCTACAAGATAAATCTAATGCTTGGTGTATAGAATCGAATCAGGTTATGATTAACCAAGGGTGTATTTGATTAATCTCGTGAGAGTAGTTGCTCCTACCCTCAACCATGAGACCCTTTTATGCATGGAAACACTTGGTATACGGACCAAAGTTGATTAATTTGGGTTATGATTAATCAAGGGAAAAACTTAATTAATCTCGTAAGAATGGCCATGCCCAAACTCAACTATGAGACCCTTTAAGAAAAAGCTTGGTATATGGACCAAGGGGACAGAAGAGAGTTGTTGCAATGCATAAGATAAAAATCAAAATCCCATAAAAGGTGGCTATATGCATGCTCCTAGAAAGTAGGACTAGTGTGGCGCTAGTATTCTAAATGACAAATTGGAACAATTGATCGAGTAGTTGTCACTGTAGAAAAGCCCGGGACCAAACTATGAATGTGTGCAAGTGTGCATTTGTAGGTGAATACCTATTTGTTGCTGACGAGCCCAAGAGGAGGCCAAGTTTTTTAATTGAACAAAATATGCATAATGGCAATATTTAAACATATAAAGAAATAAAAATTCTAACCTATTACAAACCATATGGGAATGGGGGTACAAGTTTATGAATGGGAATGAGTCGAATTGACAATACGATTAAAAGTATAAATAAACAATAAATACAACCCAATCAAATTTAATAAACGATTAATTAAAATAAAACAATCTATTTAAAAAAATTAATTAGAAAATTGATTAATAATATAAAAATGATATTTTTTAGTTTTATTATTTATTTAGGATAAGAAAATATATTTTGTATTTTTATATTTTTTATTTGATAAAAATCAAAACAAATAACAAAACAATATAAAAATATAGAGAAAGTAAACAAAATGGGCCTGGATTGAGTAACATTGGGGGTGCAAAGAGAAATCCGTTGCGCCCATGAGGAGCAAGCCCAGGCACTAGGATGTCATACTGGATCTGGTGAGGCGCGCTTCAGGGGGAGCATCGTGTGTGTTCAAATCTGATTCGCTGGATCTTAATAAAGAAGATCTAATCATGGTGATGCGTGAGCGTCACCCTAAGGCTGATGGGGAAGTGCACTCTGGATCTATTGGATCTGGTTGATAGGCCTACTGAAAATCCACCATAAGCAATAGATCTGATGAGTTGGATCTTGATTGGTATAGATCTGTTGGTGATCTAACATCGATGAAAGCGAGGGAGTATGGTATGATCGGCAAGGCACCTGCACATAATTATCAAAATAGCCACAAGGACGGTTATAATTTTCACCGTCTAATTAGTGTATTAATGAAGACTATTTTAATAAAACATTTGTTTAAACCATAATTAAATAAATAAATAAATAAACAAAGGATAATTTTTTCTCTTTTCACTCTTGTCGTTCTCTCGTCTTTCTCTTTCTCTAGAGCTTTCCTGAGAAGACACTTCCGTCGTGTCAGAAATTGCCTCGTGGCAGCAGCGAACTTACTCTAATCCTTGATTTTCTTACATATTCATGTTCGTGTCTCTTCTCTGATCACTAATCAGATATTGATTTTTGTAGATGCTTGACTATTTCATGTAGATCTTGAAAGGAAAAACGAAACCCTAAGTTGCTTAGATCGGTCGACTATCCTAGATTATTCACGAATTTTGGCAGGGAGTAAAGAAACGGGAAAGAGGCGGAGGATAGGAGACGAGATCTGATCTGTCAGGCTCGAATCTGTGTGTATTAAATCAATACTTCCAGTGAGATCTTTTTGTCTCTAAACTCTGGCTTTCTCTGACTCTCTGTGCTGTGATTTTGAAATATTTTCCTCTTCTCCTTTCTCGAATTTCTGAAGGGTTTTTTGATTAGGAAGATGATGATGAACTGTTAGGGTTTATGCTTGATAGCTTGCCGGTTTTGCGATATTCATGAATGAACTTGATTTTTGAAAAGCTTGTCTGGTTTTTGGAGATGAATTTTGCAGAGCTTTTTTCTGTGATTCTTCCAAGATTTGGAGAATCCCCATTATCCGTGGGAAATTTTGTTTATATATCTGTATCAGTTTTGAAAAACAGTTGGGGATTGTTTTGATTTGATCTGTTCACTGTGAAAGTTTTGTTATAGAATAAATGGATGAGATTGTTTCTGATTTTGAGGCTTGCTCTGGAAGTTTGTTACTTTGCTGAGCTGGAAAATCAATTTTGCTTGAACTGATTTGTTTTGGACTTGGCATTTTTGATAAGCTTGCTGCAACTTTAATTTATGATATCTTGCTTTTGCTTTGCTTGGGCTGAAACTTGAACTTTGATAACAGGCCGTGAAATCATTTTGCTATTGGGCTTGACAATTATTTCTGATTTTCATTTTGGAGAGAATTTACGAAGAGAAGCAAATAGATAGCTCTCTTAGAAACCATAGAATTAGACTTGCTAGATTAGGAATTTCATTAAAGTTTTCCTTGTAAAAACTAGAAATTGTCTTGTAATCTTGAAGTGACTTAGAAACAAAAGATGTATTAAAAAATGGGACTTGTAAATGGTGAGCGTAACTTGTGTTGAAATAAAATGGAAAAATTTGTTGGAAACACTTGAATGGAATTGAGTAATGATAACTTCTTTGAAAAACTTGAGTCAAACCTTGAATTTTGAATGGTACTCTTGAATCCGATTTGGAAAATGAATGTAACTTTGAATGATATGGTTGAATTAAATTTGTGTTAAAACCTCTTTTAATCCCAAATTCAAAGAACTTTGAAAGGTAATTGAAACCATGAATAAACTTTGCAATTTTGCATGGTGCCTTAATGAACTTGTTTGACAAAACCCTTAGGTTTTAAGTATCTTTCAAGAAATCCACACGACCTTTCTAGTCTTGCAACTATTTAAGCGCTTCAATTCAATTGAAATAATCGAAGTTCAAAATAATAATGAACCTAAGCTCAACTGAATTTTCGAGTTCGGAATTCAATCTCAGATTCGAACCAACAAGGTTTCTTGAACTGGTGATTAGTGAACTATTAAGATAAATCTCCATGCCCTTTCGTCTTGACGAAATCCTCTTGTGCAAGTCAATTTCATATGATGCCCTAATCTTATGAGGAATATAAGGAAATAAACCCTAATCTCAAGAGATACATAAGAGAATAATGATTCAAGAATCAACACTTGTAAATTTAGTTATTTGATGGAACAAAGAATCAAATGAGATGTCCTGAGAATTTGAGAAGCCTTAGTAACCCGAATGATCAAAATAATGAGGAGATGAGATCCATATTGGGCTGATCGGCAATACAACCAAATTCCATAGCTTGTAGAGAACTTGAGAAACCAGAAATACCTTGATCCCATATAAAAAATGCATGAGTATGTATGATGAAACATAATCCATAATCAAGAGGGTAAGTTTTGGGGTGCAACAGAAATTCTACTTCATCTTCATCCAACTTCATGTTTCCTTGCCATCAAAGTCATTTGTATCATGCCTTGCCTTCACATGCTTAACCCAATTAATGATGGAAGCCCTACATATCAAAGAAAACAGAAGCCAATTGACATTAAACACAAGCATACCTGCAACCATGAATAAACAGCCCTGCATAAGCCCTGCACATTACAAACTTATAACAGAAAAGATTAGAATAATTCAAAATTCCAAAAATAATTTATTAACATTTTATACCAAAATTACAAAACTAACAGCTTCAACCTCCTAACCGATTCCGCCATCTCATCTAACCGACTATAACCGATTTCCTAACAGCTTTTCACCGAAATTACAGCAGAAAAGCCAATTCTCTTATTGTCCTAACTAATTCTGTAACAAACTTTCAGCGGGGGATATAATAGAAAATAAAAAACAAAATAAATAAAAAAACCTCTAACCATCTTCTAACAGAACTCCTCAACTGTAACTAACAACTAACAAATTTCCTAACTGTTTTCTAACGAATAGATAACAGAAAAAGGATAAGAGAAAAGGAGATAAGGAGGTCCACGATTTTCATAACAAAAAGTCACGAGAAAAATATAATACTCCCCTATCAACCTTACTCTCTCGGCAACTCCTCAAGATCCTTCATCATCTTCAATCTTCTTCATTCTTCAATCTCTGGACGAATCACCACAAAAAATCAAAAAATATTTCTCTGCCCTCTCTCTTCATCACCGCACTTATGCACTAGTTTCTCCACTTTCACTCCTCCTCCATTATCACCCTCAAGCTTCCTCCAAAATTCTCTCTGTTTTTTCTCATCTCAATTCTTCACAACTTTGGGAGAATCACTAAAAATATTCTTGAAGCTTTTCTCTTAAATTCTTGAAGCTTTTCAATCTCTCGCATCATCATAAGCATCTTGATCAAGCTTCAATCGTCATCTCCTACTGCTGCATATCTTCATCTTCTTCGTTCCACCTTCTACGTTCATCTTCTACAGCAACAACAATTTCATTTCAGCATCAACACACAAGCATCAACAAACAGATCATGGTGCACAACAATTGATTCACAAAATAAGAAGATTGAGAAGAAGAGGTCACACATATGAATTAATAGATTCATACCTAAATACAGAAGCACTACCTGATTTCTATTCATCTTCATCCCCTCGAAGACGCACTGGACGGATCTTTAGGAGGTAAGCCGTGATATTTTCAGTTTCTTCTTCGAATACGCTATTTGATGCTGGTTTTGTTCGAACGAATCATGACTTAAGGAGAGAGTGAGACAGAGACAGTGGAGCTTGTTCGTTGGAAGATTTTGTCCGATTGCAACGATGAAACAGATGTGGAAGGATGAGCCGCGTGCGGATGTGAGAAGGTTGAGACCGGATGGAACGAGACATGGCGGAGGAAATAGACGCCACGAGTTAAAGCGGATGGAATGTATTGTTTAACGGTGAGAGGCATTGTAAGGAGAAAATAGATTGAAGCTTCACCTCCGTTCGCATTTGAGAGAGAGATGAATTGTTGAATTCAAACTGTCATCCCCAATATAACCCTAATTTGTTTTTTTTTTGTTTTTTTGTTTTATTTAATTTGTTTTTTTTTTTTGTTTTTTTTTAATAGATAATCAGAATGGATAATTGAAAGTGATGTATTGGACTGGGCATTAATTTTGTTGGGCCTATCATGAAGCCTAATCCATATAGATTTTTGTAAATCTGATTAATTAAACAAAACAAAAACTGTCATGGAACTCATGCTTGCTAAATTCATACCCTGGGCCGAAATCTGCTTCCTCTAAGCCCATTTCATCAATTTTTTGGTTAAATCTTGATATACAAAAAAGGGATCCTCCTGTACTCAAATTGGATGGGCCCAACGCCTTACTAGATCATACACTTCCATTCTGACTTCACACCCATGTTTCCTTTATTTTTATTTTGTTTTCATTTTTTAATTATAATCTCTCTTTCATAAGTTTAGTCAATAAAAATGCTTGATAAAAAATATAATAAAAAAAAATAAAAATAGTAGAATATAATAGAAATTTTCTAGGAATTAATTCTTTAGTTTTTTTAGAATTTTCCTCACATAAAAAAAACTAATTAAAATACTTTTTTGTCTCTTAGTTTTTTATTCATATTTCGTATCGTCGTGCCTCATTATTTTTTGACGCGTTTGTTCATTGTGCAAGGTACATCCTTTTTTCGATCATGTGACATAACAAGTTGTTATGTGATCGAAGCATATGGCTTATGCTTGTTTCTGATGCGACACGCCTTATTTATCATTGTCCTGAGAAATTCATATGATATTATATGTTGTCCTGATGCATGTCATATTTTATGATGCTTTATGCAGAAACTTATGATTACGCGTTGCATTCGCAACACGCATTTGCTTTTTTCTTAGTTGGATATTGTTTCTGACTTTGTCTGTTGCTTAGTAAATCTTGCTCGACGCGTACTCCCTGCTTCTCCATTGTTTTCGTCGGCTTTAAATGATTGGCTTGCTTGTAGTAGTCACCGCTACTACCTTTGTATTTCTCCGCACTTTATCGCATTTCTTTACCGCTTTTCTAGAGATCATGAGAAGTAGGTATTTACTACTTTATGATGCCATGAGAAGTAGGGTAGAGATGTATGAAGGGGATCTCCGTTGATGATCATGTCAGGAATCCCTCTAGTTTATTTAAAGACCCGTTTAGGGCAATTCCTCGTTGTATGCATTATGTTTGCTATTGGTGTTTGTTTAAAATCCTACCTTTGAAGTAGGTATTTCACACGTGTGTTTATATTTGAGCCTGCATATGTTTCAGATGATAAGTCGTTAAAAGGGAGAGCGTTGAGAGTTCGCAATCAACCCCAGCAATATCGTCCGTGTCATCCTTAGCTTGTGACGCACCATGATGATTCGGAGTTGTGTCTTCTCTTGTTATCGAGTCATCAAGTGGGGAAGGGTTTTTCAATCAAACCCCCATATTTTGTCAGGAGTTCACATTGGCCAATGCTGACACTCTGTGATCGTTCATATTGTCTTTTGTCGTCCACCTCGATCTCCTATATCTTGGTTAGATGTTCATTTGCTTTAGACATCACATTTTTGTTTTACATCCTATTCCCGCTTGTTTATCTAGGGTTATACGCTCCTATTGGCTAAAGAATTTGGCTTCTTTTCTTTACCATTTTATGTGTGTGCTTATTCGAGCTTGCCTGTTTTATCTTTATACATACCATGTTCCCTTAGGATGTGTGTGTTCCTTTCGGATGCAAGTTAGACCTTAGGTTGTGAACCATGCATGCTAACATTAGGTAGACATTTCCCTTTTTTTAATCCATAGGACTACCATTGTATGATAACATTAGGTTTAAAAATAGGCTAGTCCCCCTTAGACTCTTTTCTTCCCCTTTGGCATATGCATTTAAAACTAAAACTTTGTTTTTCTTAGCAAATCATAAAACATGCTAATCACACTTAAACCATTTTCAAGGTAACAAAACACAAACCAATCAAACATGGCATCTTTCCTTGAGGACGTAACTCAAAATCATTTCCAAGTAAGGTCATGATTAATTTACTTCTGTGCCAATGCGTGAGTCTCCAAAGGTCGAGCTGTAGCAGAAGGCAGAATTAACATTGTTCATAAAAAATACAAAAACAAACAAAAACATGTGAGCCAAACTACGGTAACTCTGATTCCTCAAAAAGGATACATATGCATTGGGGTAGGGTCCAAGTGAGCACAACTTTATTTTCCCTACATTATTTTCTCCTTTATTATGCATGCATTTCTTCCTCAGTGGTATAGTAAGCATATATTAAACACATCCATAAGATAGACAACAAGAGTGGATACCGTAGTGTACTATGAGCGTGCGGGGTGCTAATACCTTCCCCTCACGTAACAGACTCCCTTACCCGATCTCTCAGTTGCAAGAACGTGACTTATCCCTTATCATGTTTTCTCAATGTTTACCTTTCCCTTCATATGGGATAAAAGACGTTCGATGTAAACTTCATTGTTTGATGATTTTCAGTCGGTTGTTTCAACTGGTCTATCCCGGAGTCGCTCCTAGATCTTGTTTTCTTCTCTTTGGGTGTTTATTTTTTATGCTTTCTGTTTATTCATTCATACATGATTATTTGAGCATATGCATGCATTGTATTTTACTGTTTTCCATATACTACTGATGTACTGGATCTGCTTCTAGATTGGGTTGGGATGTTACTATGAGGTAAAAGGCCCAATACCCAGGCCAAGGGACAAACATATGAACCCTAAGAATAGAGTGGAACATGAACGACTAGTTGACTTAGGTTTCACTATTACCGCCATGTCGTCCATGCTCAGATGAGGTACAAATGAGGGGCTATCATTTTCACTTAGGTAACACGGCGATAGTTTTTCAGGAGTAACCTCGATTCTGAGTTACCCGACCTTACCCTGACCTAGTTTTCACCCGTGAGTGGGGAGGAAATTATTATCATAGGTATAGATGGTGACTATGATCAGATGGTTACTCATGTTCATATGGTAACTATTTGATCTAATGGTTATGTTCTGGATTTCTGTTGGTGACTATAGTTCTTTGGTTTATGTTCTGAACCTGTGATTCTGGTACTAGCAGACTTTGCAGAGACAGTACAACAGAAATATCTATCATGGAAGTAGTAATCCCTTGATCAATTGCACTTACATCATAGCATGTTTACTTTTTAAAAAAGGAAATGTGAGAAAAATGAAATTATATACTAACCTTTCATGTGCATGTCCATCCCAGGGTATCTCATGAAGTTATGGTTTCCGTCAGTAACGTCAAGCAACAATGATGTTCTCAAGAGGACCAGAAGAGACAATTGTACTTATCAGTTCCACTGAAGTTCTTGGCCTTCTTTGAAGAGTTTGAAAAATCATTTAGTCTGTCCTAATGCAGAGGCTTTTAGTGAAAGACATGGTGTCATTTTGACTCTGTTAGTTGTCCGAGTTTATAATGAAGCTCTCCGGACTCTAATTCAGTTTTACGACTATGAGCTACACTGTTTCACCTTCCAGAACTATCATATTACTCCGACTTCGGAAGAGTACTCTCATTTTATCAAGATCACTGAGCACATATTTGTTGTTGTTCTGAACTAGCCCGATTTTGGAGTTATTGCTAAGGCACTTTATTTGGGCACTAGTGATATGAAACAAAGATGGAGAAAGAATGGTGGCCTACTCTTGGACTTCTTGTTCGTTAAAGCAAGAGAAATGGCTAAACATGATACTCTG